ACACATTCCTCAAATGCACCGTGGTTTTTTTGAAGCTAGACAAAGTCGAGGATGAAGATGAAGTTCATTTCGAATGCGCCAGGTGAGAAACCAAAGTTAGATGAAGATGATTTTTAATCGCAGAAGGTACAGACGAAGTCGAGAATGGTCAGAGACAAATGAAAGCAAGGCCATAAAAAAGAAAGCGAGAAAGCAAAGGTTTTATTATAGAGATAAACTCGGCATGTCAATGCATTATTGTATTGAATGGGGCTGGACATTTTATGGTTTTATGCTTTCCCATTTGTATCAGGTGGGACTAGATTTTCTTATATGAGAAGAGGAGATAGAAGAACGTGCTTCTGATTGGTATAAGTTGTAGCAAATATGAAGGGATTGAATATAAAAATTCATCCTCTTTAAGCCTGTTTTAGTGTCCTTAGAATCGGATTCAGAATATTAAATTAGTGGGGGCAATTTTCTTGCTGACATTCTTTTAAAAAAATATATAAATATGTAAATATGAACCATCCCCTCTTATATAAAGTGGGGGTGGAGTTTAAATAAGGGTTGAAATTTAATTTTATTATTTATGTAAAATATATAATTTTTTAAATATTATAAGTGATATTCTTAATGTGCAACAAGTTATCTTTCAAATTTAATCTAAAATTGATTTAATATAATTTCATATATATGAATGTGAAATATAAAATTCTGATTCTTTTTTAATTTGGGTTAATATATAATTTAAATATTAAATTATAAGTTTAGGGGCAATTTAAACTATAAACTTTTAAAAGATATATTTTAAACTCCAAACAATTAAAGTTGGGATAATTTCTCCCCCATGGTACAAACATCCATAAAAATGGGGTCCAGTATGAAATTTTCACTAAATAAAGGTTAAGAGTGAAATTTGGTGAAAATCACACATTATGCCCTAATTTTTTAAAAAAAAAACTAAACGACATTTGTTTAAATTTATTAACTGTGGGGATAAAATTATCTCAACTTTAATTATTTAAGATTCAAAATGTACCTTTTAAAAGTATAGAATTCAAATCATTTCTAAAATTATAGTTTAGGGTTCAAATTGTATATTAACCCTTTTTATTTTTCTATATATGTGTTTGTGTATTTATAAAAGATGAATTGTTTTTTCCCATAATTTGTATCTTATTAATAGTAAATATTTAATATATTTGTATATGATATAAAAATTTGTGAAATAATAGTTATTTGGGACAATCACTGTTGAGTCCATAGAATGGTTGTAATCACTCAAAGTCCCATAAAATGGAGAAATAGCTTTAAAGTCCCAAGGGTCTTTGGTGTAAATAATTTTTATTTGTCTATTATTGCCCATGATCTGAAAAAAATGAAGGCAGAAAATCTCTCCAACAAACAAAGTTTTCCTTCTCTACATCTTCTTCCAATATTTGAAACTCTCTCTCCCCCTTGCCATAATCTAAAACTTACTACCAATTATTACTTCATCTGCGTATTTGAAGCCATGTGACTTTTCATCTGTATCATCTCCCATTTTCAAATCTGATTTTTGTGTGCATTATCACCACCTGGTCCTTATTATTGAAGGCTTGTAACTTTAGGGCCAACTTTTTGTGCAAAACATTCCCACGATTAAAGGCTTCAGCAAAATTTTGGACGGTGAAACCTGAAATTGCATTTTCGAATTTGAAGCTATATATGTGTGTGTGTGTGTTTGGTTTCTAAAGGTATATTAACTTTACACTATAGTAAAATATGATTTTTAAATTCACATATTTAAATCGGCTAATGCGTAACGGTTTAAAAATGAGGGATGGTGGCATTTTTTGTAAATAAAAAAAAGTTAGGATGACTTTTAAATTGGTTAACAAAGGAATCGATTTAGAAATTAAAAATCTTTAGAAGTTAATTTTTAAAATGTAAAATAAATTAAAATCTTTTTAGTTAACTTTTATCTAAAACTGGTTTAGAATGTTCCTTTTTTAAATCATCATATATGAGTATCTATTAGTTTAAATGACTAATTTTAACCAGTTTATATAAGAATTTTTACATCAGTGTTGATTCAACATCTAAATCTCTCTCTCTCTTTAATTTCTTGGAGGTTGTCTTTCTTTAGCGAAGGCAATGGTGATGCGGAAAATCAAAGACATCGAAGATGAGGCTCCTATACTTGGCCTTAATTCTAATTGCTTCATCCAATCTCACTCTGAGAGGAATATAGGCCATGCCTATGGTCGGTTACTTTGGATTTGTCGATAGTTGTGGAATGTGGATGAGAATGCCCATGTTTGTCATTAATTGACAATGGCCCGCATATATTGACAATTTCCTCATACCTTGTTGATAAGTAAATAATTTTCATGTGGAATAATTTCATTTTAAACTAAAAATAATAAATATAATATTGAATACTTAATAACATGTAATGACAACATGGCAAAGGAAAATATAATGCTAACTTACGCAAAAGGTATTGACAGGTAAAAATAAAATTATATGTTGTTTAAATTAGCAAAGTAATAGGTAATGATAACTTGGCAAAGGTAAATAAGAACTTACACATAGGGTATTGATAAGTAAAAATTTTTGAAATTATTTTCTATGTAAATTAACAATGCAACGAGTACTGACAATATGGCAAATGAAAATGAAAGCATTTACATATCATATTGACAAGTAAAAAATATGAAGTTATTTTCTGTTTAAATTAAGAAGACAACGAGTAATAACAACATGGAAAAAATGAATAACAACTTACACATCGTGCATTGACAAGTAAAAATTAATGAAGTTATCCATTATTTAAATTAACAAGGTGACAGATACAGTGACATGGTGAAGAGGAATGACAACATGTATACTGGATATTGACAAGTAAAAATTCAACAAGTTATTTGTCATTTAAATTAACAAGACAATGGGTAATGATAACATGGTAATGGGAAATGACATCTTATGCATAACAAGTAAAAGTTTATGAAGTTATCTGTCATTTAAATTAACAAGGCAACATGTAATGACAATATGACAATGAAAAATGACAATTTCTCATAGATATTGACAACCAGGCTTACATTAAAATATACATGTTAAGATGCAAAATATATACAACTTTATATGCATCTTTTATATAATTATACAATTTTCACAACTTGTCTTAAAAAACTACATGAATTGCATTGATATTTATTAACTCTTGGTAAGTCTACCAACATATACAAAAAATTCTATATATATATATATATATATAGGCTACAACTGTATAAACAAAAAATTAGACATGTCTCTAACAGTAGTCAACATGAATTATGATTCTTGCATGTCTTGAAATTATAATCAGTCTCATAATATCTTATACAATGATAAACCTTTGTATTTGAAAACTGATATTTCCTTTTTTAAATCTTTGTACTTGTATGGTTGATGACATCATTCTTGTACACTCTTCATATATTGTTACTTTTTTTTTTTTATTGTTTTTGTTCTTACACTCCCGCCACATGCTATTATACTGCCTTGGGCATTATCTACAAATTGTTTCCCCCTATAAAAGAAAATATAATATATGTTTTTCACAAGCTACATCTCATTATTCCAATCACAAACAATAAAACTCCAAATTAAGTTATTAACAGTCACACATGCGCAATTCATATCATCCTAAAGTGCAACAAAACATATGAACATCAACTATTACCAATCTACCTATCAACAAAGCAGGAATATGCTATGAGATTTATATAGGGAGAGATTAACCTTTTTTTTTTCCCTTAAATAACCTAAATAGAGCTGAAAGATAGGAAATAGAAATACCACGATAGAGCAACAACTCTTATCGTCTTGTGAAATAGTCAAATGTTCTAAGTGTTTAAATCAACATAGACTGTCATAACACAAAATTTTCAATCAAACCAATTATATGACCACAGGCATGCCCTATAATCCTCAGAGTGGGATTGGATGAAGCAAGAATTAAGGTCAAGTATAAAAATCTCATATTTGTTGTCTTTGATCTTCTGCATCACCGTTACCATTGCTAAAGAAAGAGAATCTCTCAGGAAATAAAAAGAGATTTAAATGTTGAATTAAAATAATTGTACCTTCAAATCCAGAAATGCAATTTTAGGTTCCACCATCCAAAATTCTCATAGATGCCTTGAAGTGTGGGATGCTTTGCACAAAAAAGTTGGCCCAAAAGTTACAAAGCCTTTAATAATAAAGACCAGGTGGTGATAACACAGACAATAATCAAATTTGAAAATGAGAGAAGAAGATGAATAAAATGAGAAATCACATGGCTTCAAATACACAAGTGAAGTAATTGGTAGAAAGTTTCAGATTGCGGCAAGGGGGAGAGACATAGAGAGCTCCAAATATTGGAAGAAGAAGACTTGGTTTGTCGGAGAACTTCATTTCTTTTTTTGTTTTTTTTTTAAGATCATGGGTAATTCAGTAATTGAGCAATGAAAATTATTCACATAATCACGTCAAAGTCCCGTGGGACTTCAAAGCTATTTTTCCATTTCGTTGGACCTCTAAATAATTAGACTTCTTCCGTGGGCTCAATAGTAAATTCCCTTATTTTATCATTTCATAATTTTTATATATTTTTAATTGTTATCTTCATTTGTGTTGATGTAAGGTAAAATTATGTGTTAATATATGGTTTTTATCAAATTTATTTTTTAATCAATTTTATTTATGTCCACTAATTTTATTTAACATAGTACAAGGTTAAGATTCTTTTTAATTATTTAAAAAAATTGAAAAAAAAGCGTATGAGAAAATTAGAAAAATGAGAATTAAAAAATTAAAAAAATTAAAAGTATGCTATGATAATATGAAAATATATTCTTTATCAAATAATTTGACTTTAAATTATTTTAATAATTTTAATTTTGATATAATTTTTTATTTCAAATTATTTAGTTAAAAATAATTACAAATGTCGGACACCAAATTCTTCCTAAAATTAATTATAAGCCCCGATAAAACCCTTTCTCGCGAGTAGCGGGTTCAGTTCTCTTTCTTCGACGAACAAGCATCCCATACTCCGTCGGACGCGTTCCACTGTGGTCAGCCCTGCGTAGTTGTCCGGGGCAAGCAGTGAAAAAGGTTCAAATCCTAGGGCCTTTTCTACTCCCACGGTGAGATTGATTTCTTCAATCTGGTGTTCTGAATCTAGATTTGAATATTTCCCCGCGTCATCTGTTCCCGCTGTTCATGCTTTGTTTTAAACTTTTCATTTTAATTTGGCTTTGAATCTGGTCGTGTAATTGTTGAATATTGACACCTTTGGATTTGGGAATGTTTACATATTGAGTTATTTATTTATTTATTAGTTTTTGCTTGAATGGTGTGTAATTGGCTATTATACTTCTTCCCTCTTCATTGTGATTACCAGCGACTTGTATGATTTGGATTTTTTTTTTGGGTGCAATGTAGGATTTGTTGTGTTTTGGCATTATGTTTATTAATCTTTTTATATTATCATCAAATTTGAAAATTCTCAAGTTTCTTGTGATGTATGATCTTGTAAATGACTTGGCTCGAGTTGTGTCAAAGCATCTGCAACAAAAATTAAAAGGACATTATATCAACTATGCACATTTCAAAGATTTCAGTTATAGGTCTGCCTATGAGTGTCCTGCTTGTGTTTTGTCTATAAGTTGAGTGCTCTACTTTAATTTCACAGGAAGTAAATTTCAGGGACTCTGCTTGCAATTCCACTTCTGAAAAGGAGCAGAGGCAGGATCGTAGTAATTGCTTCAGGTATGGGATGGTACCCTCTTCCAAAACTTGGTTACTATAATGTAAGACTCAATCATGGAATTTTCAATCTACAATTTTCATTTCAGAAAGAGAAAAAGTTCACTTGTCTTATCACTTCAGGCAAGCGGGGCAATCTACAATTTTCATAACAGTGCTGCAAAGTAATATACTGATAAAGACAAGAACTTGGATATTTTTCCTTCATTGAGTTGATTCTTTTTCCTTCATTGCTTACTCATATACTGATAAAGACAAGAACTTGGACAATTCTCCTTCATTTAGTTGCTGCAAAAAGAGACAGATTCCAACTTTTGATTTTTCATCAAATGAGCCCACAACAGAGCAAAGTCTAGATGATAAAGATTACGTAATACTTCTTGCTGCACGAGTCATTGGGCAAATCTTGATATCTTTTAAATTTAAATTCACAATAAAAGCATTAAAAAATAGCAAGGTTCACTGAGCATTAGTGGCTAAGAAATATCCAGTTGAGCAATGGGCTTTATTTTGGCCTTCTCAAGCTCGCCTTTGTCTTTATCTTATTCCTTCTCCTCTATCTTCACATCGCCTCTTCTTCTTCTGTCCAGACTTGGATCCATCTTCTCTCCTACTTCACTTTCTTCATGTTCATCTGTCTCACCTCAAACTCGCCTATGTCTTCATCTTCTTCTTCCTTTATCTTCAGATGAACCCTACTGTGCGTTTGGAAGGAGGGCTAAATTTGATTATTTTTTCTGGGTGGCAAGTTTTATTTAGTATACGTATTTTTAAAAAATTAATGTGGCGCTGACAAAGCTGCCTGCTAGGCAATTTCTAGCACCATTAATTACTGTTAGTGCCGCATAGGATGAGTTGATAGGGACCAAGTTGTGATGAGTTAAAACATAAGGACTAGGTTACAAACTCAGTGAAACTACAAAAGGATTAAATAATTAATTTTCCCTATATTTAAAATAATACATTATCATTTCAGTTGACATCTATCTACCTCATCCTCAAAAAACACTATCCCATTCCCTTTCCTAATTGCAGAAACTTCATGTTTGACAGCGACAACGACAAGCTTTAAGAATCAAGATCCATTCTGACTGTTCGACAATGAAGGCGTCGATCCTGCTTCAACAATTGCAACAGTTGAGACGGTTAAGAAGCTGAGCTTGACCACTTTTTGCCTCTGAACCAATGAAATTCCCCTTTCCAAAATCATTGCTTCTTCAAGATTTTTGGCATGATTTTGGTTCAAAATTCCAACCAATTAATACTGAGCATGTGTGCTATCATTGTGAAGGGTCATTGGAGTAATCTGTTGAAGCTTGAGAAGGCTTCTGCTCTTACTTCTTCCACCATTCACCAGGTACTTGTGCAACTCTCTCTCCATGGCTTTGCTCCATCTCATTCCTTGTCATTCTTCAAATGGGCTGAATCAGTTCCAAATTATAAGCACTCTTTGCATTGTTCATGGTCCATGCTTCATATCCTTGTAAAGCATAAACATTTTAGAACCGCACAAGAGATGCTTGAAAAAATTGCCCGCAGGGATTTTCTTTCATCGCCATCAGTTTTGAGAGCTTTGATTGAAATTCAACATGACCCAGAAGTTAATTCGCATATATTGAGTTGGCTTGTAATACATCTTACAAAATCAAAGATGACCGATGATGCCATTCAGGTTTTTGAGCAGATGAGGCTATATAAATTGAAACCTCATTTTCATGCCTGTACTGTGCTTTTGAATTCTTTGGTCAAGCATGGGGTTACTAACATGGTATGGAAGGTATACAAACAAATGGTTCAAGTTGGTATTATTCCTAATATACATATCTATAATGTGTTAATCCATGCTTGTTCCAAATCAGGAGATGTAGAGAGGGCAGAACATTTACTGAATGAGATGGAAGTGAAGGGTGTGTTTCCTGATATTTTCACTTACAATACTTTGATATCATTATACTGCAAGAGAAGTATGCACTACGAGGCTTTATCTATCCAGGACAGAATGGAAAGAGAAGGAATAAATCTTGACATTGTTAGTTACAATTCTCTTATTTATGGATTTTGTAGAGAGGGTAGGATGAGAGAAGCCATGAGGATATTCAGCAACATCAAAGGTGCAATTCCCAATAATGTTACATACACTACATTGATCGATGGGTATTGCAAAATAAATGACCTTGAGCAAGCTCTGAAATTGCGTGAGATGATGGAGGCTAAGGGATTGTACCCTGGAGTTGTTACTTATAACTCAATTTTGCGTAAGCTATGTCAGGATGGTAGAATAAGAGATGCAAATAAACTTTTGACTGAGATGAGTGAAAGAAAAGTTCAACCTGATAGTGTCACATGTAACACGTTGATAAATGCTTACTGCAAGATAGGAGATATGAAATCTGCATTGAAATTTAAGAACAAGATGTTAGAGGCTGGATTGAAACCTGACCCATTTACATTCAAAGCATTAATTCATGGGTTCTGCAAGATGAAAGAGCTGGAAAGTGCCAAGGAGATGTTGTTTTCCATGCTTGATGCTGGGTTTTCCCCCAATTACTGCGCTTATTCATGGATAGTAGATGGTTACTGCAATAAAGACAATGAAGAGGCAGTTGTTACGCTCCCAGATGAGTTTCTTAGAAGAGGTCTTTGCATTGATGTTTCAATATTTAGGGCATTAATAAGAAGGTTATGTAAGTTAGAAAGGATACCATGTGCTCAGAAGTTATTTAATCTTATGGAAGGGAGAGGTATATCAGGTGACTGCGTTATTTATACAAGTCTTGCTTATGCATATTGGAAATCAGGGAATGCAAAGGTTGCATCAAATATATTCGAAGAGATGACTAGGAGGAGGTTGATGATAACAGGCAAAATCTATAAATGTTTTGTTAATCCTCTTGATAGTGAAAACAAAACTTCATGTTCATTCTGGAATTATGTGGTGGATAGGGGCCTTATGTCAAGAAATACCATGAATAAAGTAAAGAAGATGGAATTATGATGATTAACCATTGTTCACTAGAATTTTCAGGGTTATGTTTTGAAGCTTTTAGAGTGGAAAATGAATTACTGGCCATGATTGCATTTATAGCCTTTCTGTATTTTTCTCTTCATAATTTACTAGAGGGTAGAAGCAATTGGCTGTGAACAGAGTGTCTGATCATTTATTAACTAAATCTGAGGTTAACATATTTATTCGCTAATGGATTAAATTTACTGTATCTTTTTGACATTAAATCACTAGGCATAACTACTTTTCTCTGTAACTTGGGTTTCATAGCTAGCAGGTTTATTAAAATTCTTGGACTCTAGATAGATGAAGAATATAAGTTATAGTTTGATACTTTGTTTTTTGGCCGCTGAATACTGCTGCGTGCTCTTTCATTAATTTGCATAAAAAAAAAAAATCATATTTTCGCTTGCCTGAGTATAGCGTTGAACTACTGAAAATTCTTGTATTTCTTTTTTCCCATCACCTTTAAATTAATCATATTGCTGGAAGAGACATTTGCATTACCATTCTCTGTTGTAATGCTGAACTGACGAAAGTTAATATTTGTTGATTCTGTTGGCATTAACTATCCTGATTGCTTAGACCTTAAATGGAAGAGATTTCATGTAATTGACCATAAGTAGAATGTGTAGCCAAAACTAGAAGCATTTTGATGCATATTTGACCCTCACCTCCAAGACTTGAGTAAGAAAATTAGTTTTTCTTTTTAGAAAAATAAAAAGGGCTGGCTATTTATCCACCAAAATTGAATTGAATGAAATTCAGTCTTCTGTCAATTTTCATTGTCTCGGGGACCTATTCAGCACCATCTACTACTTCTCATTGCTAAGCTGTTGAGACAGAGTAGAGGAAAATGTCAGTAGAGGAAAATGTCCTAGGATCTATTTGTATGTCTTCAATTTTAATTGGAAAACACCTATAACTGCTAATGGGTTTCTTCTTGCATGCTCTTCCTTTGGTTATTGATGAATTGGTCTTCCTCTTCCTTAACTCTTGATTTCATCAAATGTGGCTTGAGCTTGTTTACATCTGACTGTTGAACAGGTTTCAGAAAAAATTCTTGAGCTCCTTCTTCTAAGCATCTGATTTAAAAAAAAAATAAAAACAAGGCCATGTCAGATCCAAGATTCAGTCAGTTATAACCTCTAAATTTTTAATTTTGAAATTCTTAGTTATTGTCTTATGTTATTAGATTTGGGTTTACTCTTCGCAGTTTCCCTCACCTGTCGATCCTTGATGGGACATTCTCTGAGGACATAATCACCACTGGTATGTTCTTGAGAGACTCAGATTCCTGCAAAATTTATGATCTTCTATTGTTATTTACCTCACCTCTGATAAAAATAATACAATTAATTGTAAGTTATGATGTTCCTAATGTAAAATTTGGATTCAGGCAAACTTTCATGGCATGGAGAAGAAAACCCTATCAAAATCTTGTAGAATTGAAATTAGATTATTTTCTGTATAAAAATACATCACAAGTCTTTTCTCCATTTGTGGAAAATATCCCAAAAGCTTACCTTGATTTTTCTCAGTAGATCGTAGCCTGTCATTCCTGGCATACAGTAATCTGTTATGATCAGGTTCACTTCTAAATCCTGCCAGAACAAGTAACAGTATAATTAGATCAGACTCAATAGATCTAACCCAGATTCATCCCCTGAGAATGCTAAACCTTTGAAGATGGAAAACAATTTGAACCTGATGGCTACCAGCATCAACAGAGACTGTATCTCCCTTTCTCTGTTCATCTGCATTTAAACCAAGAAATTTTAAAGCCTTGCTTCCAGAATCCACTGCAGTAACTGTGATCACAAAAATACATCCACATGAATCAGAAGATATCAAATTAACCCAAAAACACGTACATACATTTATATAATTACATATATATATATATATATATAGAGAGAGAGAGAGAGAGAGAGAGAGAGAGTACCTTGGAAGGATGAGGTTTTGAGGAGCCTCTCAATCAGCATTCTGTCAATGAGACTATCATCAACAGCCAAAACATGAAACTGGGTCTCTGCAGCCATACCCATAATAACCTGAAGATTACGGTGTATGGCAAAAAGCTTGATGAAGATGAAATAGTGCAACTGAGAGAGATGAAGATGATGATGATGATGGTGAGAAATGAGAACGGGACATTTTAAAAGGGGAGCCCATCATGACCAAGAAGATACAAAATCATCCAAGGAAATCTGACAGTTTGGAAAGCGAGATCCGACAGATTTCATTCAGAATCTCCAGGATCTTCTAGGTTGATTTCTAAATTCGAGAAGCAGCAAAGAAGGTGCTGTTTTACTCGCTAATTTTTTTCCATAGAATCATTTCGTTTGACTCTTTTGGTTAATTTATGATTAAAAGTCACTACTCACTATTGGGTTTGCTGTGCCTTTTCAAGAGTCTTGAAGGTCACTGCTCAATAGTGTCAGCATTCCATTCATGCACGTGCACGTACTTTTGAAAATTACAACTCTAATTGTTGTTTGATTAGGAAAATTTCATTTAATGCCCCAAACTTGACCAAAAAAAAAATCCTGTTAGAAGATCTTGAAATTTATAATTAACCTGAGAAGGAATTAACATCAAACTTCACTGAATTTTTTGTAAATTTCTTGGCAATTTTAAGTAATTTTTCTAACAATCTTTTTAAAAAACGAAGAAAGAAAAAAAAAATCGTATCCTAGGTTCATGAAATTTGATACTAGTATTATTGAATTGATACTCATCCAGTGGAGTAATTATATTTTAGAACTTTTAACATAATTTTCATCAAGTTTGTGTCCTTAAATGTAATATTTCTTCAACCCCCCCCCCCCAACCAAAAAAAAAAAAATGAAACGGACGTACTTTGCTGTACGTACTCATATGGGGGGTCCATTAACAAATTTGATGAGCCATTTCTTTACCAAGTAAAATCTATATTTGACTAATATTCCTTATAAAATCTGTGCTTCAAATAGTCGGGGGAAAAAAAGTCAAGCATAACTAACTGTTTTATCAAAGGTGATAAACAAGATTAAAAAAATAAAATAGAAGTTATTTTTAAGATAAAAATATCATCATACTATTATTTTATGAATAGTATCATAAAAATATAACAATATTAAATAATAATTACAATGATACACCAAACATTAAGTTAATAATAGTTGTCGTACTAGAAGTTTTAAGATCGTGTAAGTAATTTATATTATTATATTTTATAACTTCAATTCTTTTTTTTCCTTTTGTTTTGTATAATCAAATTTTTTTAATAATATAATACCTTAATTAGTGTTTCCTTCCTTTTTTTTTTTGGGCCACACTGTTTCCTTCCATTCAATTCTTGAAAATCAGTCTGAACACTTCAGAAACAAAAATTATGCGAAGTTAAACAAGCAACGAGCAATATTAATTATGACGCTTTTTTGAGATACATTCGTTTTACTTAACTTAAAAATTTTAAATTAGTATTGGCTTTTATGTATGTACTTGTTTTCTAAATAAATAAAATAATTCCTCAACATATGCTATCTGAATGGATCAGATCAAAGTCAGCACTGTTCTGGAATGAGAATATATTTTCAAACAGTTCATTTGTTTTCTTTTTTGTTTTTATTTTTAAAAAAGAATGAATTGAGAACATGAGCACGTGGCCAATTGAATAATTGCTGGGATTTCATTTTCCGAATTATCTGACCGAATCATTTGTCAGAATAATCTCTTTTTCTGAGATCACATCCCTCCCTCATGTATCGTGATATTATAATTATAATAGAATCAATTTCGATGCGTATAGATTAATTTCGCTTAAAGTATAAAAAAAATTCAAAAACAAAAGACTTGCAGATTATAGAATATATTAAAAAAAAAATCATTGCCGATATTCACAGTTTTTATCATGTAAAACAAATTTAAAATGTACGGAATCAACTATAATTTTTTGAAAAGAAAAAGGATTAATCTGATAATGATTTAAAATAAAGATGTCAAAAGCCATTAGGGATTATGATCGTCGGATAATTATTTAAAATAATAATGGGTTTTATATCAATTATTTATATTTCCTCCAATAAGAGAATATATTACAAAATAATATGATTAGTTCAATATAAAAATCAATTATATAAATATAATTCAGAATTTAAAAAATACTCTCTCTGTTTAAAAATATAAGACATTTTTAAGAAATTGAATGTTAAAAAATGTAAGATATTTTTAATCTTTCGAAGTATAATCATTGCTTTTTTTTTTAAGTGTCCCTATTAATAGTAACTTTATATTTATTATAGGATATTTAATAGGAATAAATATGGAAAGATAGAGTTAGTTTGAAAATAGGTAACTATTTTATTGGGAGTGAAATTCGGTAAAAAAATGCCTTACATTTTTAAACTTAGGGAATATATAATAATTATTTTTATTGAATAAATATATACTAATTCTATCAAATACTGTGTTAATAATAATTATTATTACTATAGAAAATAAGAATTATTGTTAAAGACAATTCTCTTAGCTTTATATGCCTCTTTTTTCCTCCATCCATGCAACCTTCGGTTTCAACCATGGTGTTTAATTTGATTTTGAAAAATAATTCATAAAATTTACTTTAAAATGATAAATTAATAAATATTTACTAAAATAATATCATAAACATTATAAAAAAATAAAAACATTAGTATGCCTGACACTATCTCTATTTACTTTAAAATGAGACGCAACATGCAAACAATTGGCCAACACTGTAAGAGGGTTATATATATATATATATATATATATAGCTATCTAATGGGATCAGGTTCTAACGTTGTTTAACTTAATTGGAGATATTTCTTTTAAAAGTTTTTTCTGCAATTACATAGACTCAAATTCAAGATCTCATTACTAATGAGGTTAGGTCTAACATAAGGGTTAGTACCTCATCACATAATGAATTAAGGTTCAAATCTCTGTTGAAAGATATACACGCATTTAATATTTGACCTTATCTTGAACAAGATTGCTTTCAACATGAAAATATCTATAAGTAATAAAAAAATTCAAGATCCCATGCATAAACGATTATAATCCATTTTTACTGTCTTTAGAGGAATTTACTCCTTGCAGCATAAAAAAATTATATTATTTGATAATAATTCATTCATTTCTATAATTTTTTATAGTTAAAGTATATTTTTAGTCATTTAATTCTACACAAAGTTTTATTTTTATTTTTTAATTTTATGAAACATGTTTTTAGTCTTTTAAACCCTAACATCATTAATTTCATCACAAAAAATTTTTACATGAAAATTTCAATTAATAACAATAATTAATAAAAAAATATTCATTTAAAACTAATAGTGTTAAAATTAAATAATTAAAAAATATTTTATAAAATTAAGAAATCAAATTAAAATTTTATATGTAATCAGAGAACTAAAATTATATTTTACTTTTTTTTAATATTTTAAACAAAGAATGTTTTACCAAAAACTTCATTTTTAATCCAATCAATTTTGCATCTTCTTCAAATGTGTAAGCGTGTTATTTATTTGTTTATTGAACATCACATATTTCCAAAATTGTTTTATGATAATTTCAAAAGTCAAAAATCAACGGTTTTTTCCCCCTTGTTATCTCTTGATGCATCATGAAAGCCAACTACCCTTACATCACTATAGTCAAAAGTCAATTAGTCATAATATCCCATCATTTTTAATGATTTTAGCTGTTGAAAATCACCTACGAGATCCACTTCTGATGTTTACTTATCATAAAATGACAATTTAAGAATTTTAAAAAATCATATTAAAGTAGAAATTAAAAAAATAGTACTAAAAGTTTGTAAAATATGAAAACGACTATTGAATTTAGGGATTTAAATTATGATGAGATCCTAATTTGACATTATTTTTTTTTTTCAAGACTGTTAGTTATCATTCTCCTTTTATTAATTTTATCATATAATAATCAAGCATTGAGTTTTAGTCATTTTATATTTATAATTGATGTGTATATATGTGAAATAAAAAATGGCAAGAACTTTATGTAATATTAGATATTCCATAACATAAAAGAATAAATTGGTATAAGTCCAGAGCATCTAGGGGACCCAAATTTATTTTCAACATAATATTTTCTTTTAACTTTTAAAAATTGTGCAATATAACTTTTACTATTAATAAAAGTTAATTTTAATAATTAGTTATTCAAAAATAAAAAAAAACTTTAAAAATTACAGAAAAGATAAAAGAGGAAATTGCCCCTGAATTATATATAGCCTTTTGCATGTGCATGTGTGTGTATATATATATATATATTATAATATCCTAATATCAAAAAAGGTAAAAGAGAAAATTTTTCTTAAATTATAGACTCATAAGCATTTGAGACTCTAAATTTATTTTTGATATGATGCTCTCTTTCAACTTTTGATATTGATACAACTTGACCCTTATCATTAACAAAGTTAACTTTAATCATTAGCTTACTAGAAAATAACCTCAAAAATAACAGAAAATCACCAATAATTTTTGAATATTTTTCTGTAATTTTTTATCTTTTTCTATAATTTTTGAATTTTTTTTTGCTGGGTTGCACTTTTTCTTGGGAGGATAGAAATTGATTTTGATGCATATATTTATTATCATATTTCCTATGATCTTATTTATAAGTCACTTTTAACATTTTCATTGGAATAAAAAAAAAACTTTAAACCTTATTAACTTTATCTTAAAATTTAACAAATTTTTTACTTTACCCTTATTAAATATCTACTCTAAAAATAAAATACTTTAACATTTAATGATCTCTTTAACATTGAATGGAGGCAAAAGAGTAAAAATAGACATAATAATCATTGAGATTTCTTGTAAATAGGATCAAAATAAATTTTCTATTTCAACCTTATAAATAAGATGAGAGAAGTATTTTTATGTTTGGCTTACTCCGTCCCATCATTTTGGATCATAGTTTTTCTTATTATTGTTTGATTTCCTCAGCCTGTTTTTTATATATTATTTGATTAATTGTTCTACTTTTTCCATTTTCTTCAAACTAGAGAGACAAGAGAAACGAAAATGCAAGATTAATGAGGCTAGCAGCACAAAAAATGAGGCTAGCAGCATGTCTACAAAAATATTACCTTGATAGAAACTCTTTGCACAAGCTTGTTAGAACATATGAAAAGTCAAATGCAAGAAAGCTTACTATGAGGATAACACTTTGGACAGTGACATTGCTTTCACATGCACGCAACAAATCATCAATGACATAAAGCTTTAATCCAAAATGGATCTTTTGAGCAATTATGACAAATTTTGGTTGGGTTAGATTATGACAAATGGATCTTCTAAGCAATTATGACAACCATAATATAGCTAATTAGATTCCACCAAATTTGGGTTGGGTTAAATTAGACGTCGATGGTCCTGTCAACCTTAATGAAATTGTGACTTGCGGTGGTCGTGTTGGATAATATGGGCAACTGGATCAAAGGAT